CCTCCTCTCTCAAGTGCCTTCCTCCTGAAGCAACTCACATCCTTTCCAATCCCATTTTATCAGGCAAAGCAGGTTCTGTGTTTCTGCTTTAGCCAAAAGCAGTGGGGATGGACAGTCCTGCCACATGCCTGGAAGGAAAGGAGAACTAGGAATAATAGCAAGAGCCATGAATATTGACTCAATAGATGTTTGACGTTTTCTCACTCGATTATAAATTGCTGCTGCAAACGCAGTTTCAGTTCCAGCACCCTGTCCCACCAAGTGACTGTCCAGAGATTCTGGAAATACTCTGGCCGCAGACGGTCTTTGGAAGTCATTGAGCCAGCTCTGTCTTAGACAAGGCAGAGAAAGCAAGTTCTGGGTGCTCAAAGTGAATCGTACCTTCTGGACTGGAGCCCTTACCCCGTGCTTTCCCCTGCACTCTTCACATCCAGTGATATTCGACAGTGGTGTTGAAATCGTGAGTTCCTCAAGGTGGAGAGTGCCCTGGGAACCCCCTCATCTTCCAAGTGTGGAAATGAGGCCCGGGGAGTGTGCGTTCTTTTGGTCCTTGTGTTTTATGTCTTTCCCAAGGTACCTGCAGTTCATGATGAGCCCATCGCGGGATCTGCTCTCTATAGTCACTGATCCTCCTCTGGGAGCCTAAACAGCCCAAGCACAGTGACCTAGCTTGTCTGGTTTTCCATTCTAATTTGGGTTCCTTCTAATGCCTCAGCCTTATAGTTGGTGATTGTTCAAAGCTGCCCACCAAGAAGGATCTTCATGACCTTTTTCTCTCCAGTTTTTTTGTTGTTTGTTTCCAATCACAGGGATAAGAAATGGGACATTTTAACAGCTGTCCTTACAGGGAATACACTTTTACTTTTTTAGAATGAGACCAAGAAATTTCATCTCATTCTCCAACACTCCCTTCTCCCCACTTCCCAGAGTTTTCTGTTGTTGTTTTGATGAGACATGCATATACAATTGTGCGTCTCTTAACGACAGGGATGCCTTCTGAGAAGTGTGCCACTAGGCGATTTCATCATTGTGTGAGCATCATAGAGTGTACTTACACAAACCTAGATGGCACAGCCGACTACACACCTAGCCTATGTGGTATAGCCTATTGCTCCCAGGCTGCAAACGTATACAGCACGTTCCTGTACTGAATACAAGGCAATTGTAACACAATGATATGTATTTGTGTATCTAAATGTATCTAAACATAAAAAAGGTACCATCACCTTTCTATGGTAGGACCACTATCATATATGCAGTGTGCCGTTGACTAAAGTGTTGTTATGTGCTACATGACTGTATAAGATTTTTGGCTAGAAGCAGTAAAATGCAGTCCATGTTTGTACTTGTCTAGAATCCCAAAAGCTGCAAAAGGTGGCTGGCACAGACGCTCACCGGAATGGCTCTGAGACTGTTCCTCGCCCCTGAACTCGTGGGCTAACTGTGGCCTCTCAGTCCCTCCAGACCATTTTAGTTGGTTCTAACTTTTCAGACACTGTGCAGCTTGAAGCTTCCAGAGCCTGAGTTTTTAAAGTGTGGACTGGATAAGAATCATCTGGACCATGGGCTAAGAATGCAGATTCCTGAGCCAGGCACCAGAGATTCTGATTTAGTGGGCCTGGGCTGAAGCCCAGGAATCTGCATTTTAACAAGCATCCCTTGCTGGGCGCGGTGGCTCACGCCTGTAATCCCAGCACTTTGGGAGGCCGAGATGGGCGGATCACGAGGTCAGGAGATCCAGACCATCCTGGCTAACACGGTGAAACCCCGTCTCTACTAAAAATACAAAAAACTAGCCGGGCGTAGTGGCGGGCACCTGTAGTCCCAGCTACTTGGGAGGCTGAGGCAGGGGAATGGCGAGAACCCAGGAGGCGGAGCTTGCTGTGAGCCAAGATCGCACCACTGCACTCCAGCCTGGGCGACTGAGCAAGACTCCGTCTCAAAAAAAAAAAAAACAAAAAAAAACAAGCATCCCAGGTGATAGAGAGCAGTGTTTTCTTTTTCTTTTTTTTTTTTTTTTTGAGATGGAGTCTCATGCTATCACCCAGGCTGCAGTGCAGTGACATGATCTTGGCTCACTGCAACCTCCATCTCCCGAGTTCAAGTGATTATCCTGCCTCAGCCTCCCAGGTAGCTGGGATTACAGGCACCTGCCACCATGCCCAGCTAATTTCTTTTTTTTTTTTTTTTTTGAGACAGAGTTTCACTCTTTTTGCCCAGCTGGAGTGCAGTGGTGTGATCTCGGCTCACTGCAACCTCTGCCTCCCAGGTTCAAGTGATTCTCCTGCCTCAGCCTCCTGACTAGCCTGGGACTATAGGCACCCGCTACCACACTCGGCTAATTTTGTATTTTCAGTAGAGAGGGGATTTTGCCATCTTGGCCAGGCTGGTCTTGAGCTCCTGACCTCAGGTGTTCTGCCCACCACGGCCTCCTGAAGTGCTGAGATTACAGGTGTGAGCCACTGTGCCTGGCAGAGAGCAGTGTTTTCTAGGGTTCCTTATAGATGCCAAAGACTGTCGTGCCAGGGTGCGGCAGAACTACAGGGGAGGTGTCTCACCTTCAGCCAGAGCTCTGCTTCGAGCTACTTTACAAATGAGGCTTCAGCCTCAGGTTTGTCCTGCTGATAAAAATAAATAACATGGAGTAAAATTGTTGGGACCTACAGAACTTTTCCTCTTCAAATCCCAGGCCAATTGGTCTCAGCAGAGGCCCCTGTGCCTGTTTTCTACCAGGCACTTCAGACCCAGAAGCAAGGGAGGCATTTTACTACCCTTCCCGGCTTTCATGGCCTTATCTGGACCGTGCTTTGTGAGTGAAATAGCTTTTCTCTTAGACCCTAACAGAGACTGTTCAAGGTCAAGGAACTTGAATTTCCACTTTGACAGTCAGCAGTGGCCCTTACCTGTTACCCTTCAACAGGCGGGGTGTTCCCACGGAACTTACCTACTGCAGCTTCCAGTGTCTCCGTGCATGAGGATTTTTCTCCGCTAAATTGGAAGGCAGGAGTGTCTCTGGGGCCTCAGGTTTGAATCTGATAAATTGAAGGGATAAAGGTGACTGTCTCTGGGTCACCGATACTCGCAGTGCTGACAACCAAGGGTGCTGATTACGGGAAAAGAACTGGAGGAACAAGGGCAGATGTGTTACATTGTGTGTAAATAGTGTTTTTCCTGTGAAATCTCAATACGTCCCTGAGGACACTGCAGTTTGGGTTTCTGAGCCACTCTCCTCTGATATTTACTCATTGGGGATTTTACTCTTGAGAAATCACAGTGAAAACAGAACCATTTTGCCTCCATGAAGACGATGTCAACGTCTCAAAATCCAAGACATTTTAAGGCAGGATTCCAACCTCATTACTGCCAGGAATAAAATTCATCCAAGGTGGAAGTGTCCTTTTTTAGAACTCAAATCCGTCTCAGAATTGCCTTTTCTTTCCCCTTTGTTTTTGAAGCTAAGCAATTACTTTTTTTTTTTTTTTTTTAAGGAAAAAAAAATTGTGCAAATGTACAAAACTCTCTTTTTCCCTCTTTCATTTATTTGAAATTGAACTTAACAAAGTCAGTTCCGAGCAAGCACTATATATGAGTAATGCTTTTTGTCCATAAAAGAGCATTGACTCTAGTGGAATGGGAGTGCTGATTCTCGCTCCGCTTTGTGTGCGCGTCCATAATGACAAAGTACTCATGTCAGAGTGTATAATGAAACTATAAATTGTTTTCATGAATGCTCTGAATTTGGTCTTTTACGGGGCAAATTCAAAAGGTATTTAGTGCCACATTTCACATATGTGAATAATACCAGACGGTGCAGTATATCCAATGAAAAGTGAAGTGTCCTATTTGGGCCCACGCTGGCCAGTATGGTGGGTCAGACGTAGGTAAGGGTGGTTTGCGGTGCAGGAGAGTGAGCAGAAGGAAGGATGCCACATCACTCTGAGGCAAGAGTTCCAACCAGGTGTACTCATCTGTTTTGGGAGGATTCAAAATGGGGCTAAAATACTTAGCTTCTAAGATTGGTCTCTGGATGGGGAGTGCCTGCGTCTGAATCACAGGAAAAGTTAAACACATCATCAGGGCCATGTTAGTGGACAAATTTGCAAGTAAGAAAATAGCTGCTGGGTTTGGTGGGCAGTTGCAATCTATTGCAATGATTTATGGTTCAATTATTTTTACTAACTTTTTTGGGCTTTTTTTTTTTTTTTAACAAGAAAAACTATATGGACCAGGTGTGGTGGCTCATGCCTGTAATCCCAGTACTTTGTAAGGCCAAGGTGGGCAGATCATCTGAGGTTACGAATTCAAGACCAGCCTGGCCAACAGAGCCTGGCTGTCTCTACTAAAAATACAAAAATTAGCCGGGCATGGTGGTACGCATCTGTAGGCCCGGCTACTTGGGAGGCTGAGGTGGGAGAATTGCTTGAACCCAGGAGGTGGAGGTTGCAGTAAGCCGAGATCATGTCACCGCACTCCAGCCTGGATGACAGAGCAAGACTCCATCTCAAAAAACAAACAAGCAAACAAACAAAAAACCATATAGGTTTACTCTGGAAACTTAGAAAACACAGAAAAGCATCAAGAAAAGTTTTAAAACCTGGGTGAATAATTTGACCACCAAGAGATTATCGTTAGTAACATTTTAATAAAATTTGTATTAAATATCTTAATAAAATTGTACATAATCTTACCTGGATATATAAATCCTTTTTGAACAAAATTGGGGTCCAATTGTCTACCTGTTTACCCGTTTATGCAACTCTTTGAAACGTTCTGGTTTTTGACTTATTGTCCAAGGTTTGGGTTCTGTCGTGAGGGCACTGCATGTTAGCACTGTCGAAACCTTTATGTACATGTCATTTGCTGAAAAATATTTCTCTGGGCATATGAGCTCTAAAAATGAGAATAGCAAAAATTCTCCACAGGGTGTGTGAAGTACGTTGTGTGTTAAATGGAGGCCCATGGATGTTTTTAACCTGTTGCCTGGATTTTTTGCTTTGTAGTACCTGGTGTGTAAGAGGAAGCTGGAGAGCAAGAAGGAAGCCCTGCTGATCCTCTCCAAGGAGCTGGACACCTGTCAACAGGAAAGAGACCAGTACAAACTCATGGCCAATCAGCTCCGGGAGCGCCACCAGTCACTCAAGAAGAAGTACCGAGAGATGATCGTAAGTGTTAGGCTGCCCTGTTCGGCCACTTTCCTGTTCCCTGAATTAAGATATAAAGAGATTTTCACATGCTGTTTCTTTAGAAATGGTTAAATGTAAACAGTTCAAAGTGGAAAAATGTAGAAGTAAAAGTCACCACCTCTATTTCCTCCACAACCCAATCCCACTCACAAGTTAATCTCTCTCTCTCTCTCTGTGTGTGTGTATGCGTGTGTATGTATATGCTTCTTGCTCTGGCATCTGTGAACACACACGTGTGTGTTTGCACTAGGCTCCCCCACTTATCCAAGGGAGGCATGTTTCAAGACCCTCAGTGGATGCCTGAAACCACAGATAGTATGAAACCCTATATATGCTGTTGTTTTTTAAATCTGATAGCCAAATCAGCTCCTAAGTGACTAGCGAGTGGGCCACATAGACATCGTGGATACCCTGGATGAAGGGGTGATTCACATCCCAGGTGGGATGGAGGGGAATAGTGCAAGATTTCACCACACGACTCAGAACAGCATGCAATTTAAAATTTATAAATTATTTATTTTTGAAGTTTTAGGGAGAACATGTTTGGACCATGGTTGACCTCAGGTACCTGAAACTGAGGACAAGTGGGGACTACTGTATGTGTGGCCGTTTACTTGTTAATTTTATTATATAGAGTTCTTCAAAAAGAGGATTCATAAGTCTACAGTAATACAGAGGCCACTAGCTACAGGTGGCTACTTCGTTTTAAATTAATTAGAATTAAATAAAATAAGAGACTCCATTCCTCAGTCTCAGTGTCACATTTCATGGGCTCAGGTGACTGATGGCTACTGTATTGGACAGTGTATATAGAGAGCATTGCCATCCTTCCAGAGAGTTATATTAGGCCAGATGCAGTGACACACCTGTAATCCCAACTACTTTGAGAGGCTGAGATGAGAGGATTGCTTGAGCCTAGGAGTTTGAGGCCAAGCTGAGCAACATAGTGAGAACTGTTCTCAAAAAAAAAAAAAAAAAAAAAAAAAAATTCATGGAGAAATAAAATAAATTCCAAATTTATTTTTAAAAATAATAAAACATGCTGTTTTCCCTCAGCACTTTATTTTGGACATCTTTCTAGGCCTACAGATCTAACTCATCCAGATTTGAATCATCCAGATTTCTAGGCATACAGATTTAACTCAGTCTTTTTTTTTTTGAGACGGAATCTCACTCTGTCACCCAGGCTGGAGTGGAGTGGTGCGATGTCCGCTCACTGCAAGCTCCACCTCCCGGGTTCATGCTGTTCTCTTGTCTCAGCCTCCCGAGTAGCTGGGACTGCAGGCGCCTGCCACCATGCTCGGCTAATTTTTTGTATTTTTAGTAGAGATGGGGTTTCACCGTGTTAGCCAGGATGGTCTGGATCTCCTGACCTCGTGATCTGCCCCCCTCGCCCTCCCAAAGTGCTGGGATTACAGGCGTGAGCTACTGCGCCTGGCCTTTAACTCAGTCTTTTAAACAGTTGCATGGTAATACACAGTATGGACATAGCCATACTTTTTGTAACTTTTCTCGTATCTTGGGCTTTTTTATTTTCTCTAGGTTTTTATATGGCAAAACTTTTAAGATGCAAATGATACTGAAATGGAGAATGCCAGCTACATAATACTAGTTTTCATTCTTGCTGCTTTTGAGGCAATCTCTTTTTTAAGTGGGGCACTATTACTGACATTTAACTATCTGTGCTGGCATTATTAAACAGCCCTGGAGTAGAAATAGAATAGAATAGATTCCTCAGGTTAAAATCATGTTGACTTACATGTGGACAGCATTAGATATTAGAGTGCTCATTTAAGGAGCATTTGCTTATTCACCTGAGATATTCGTATTCCCTGATATGGCACAAAAGGGAGAGGAATTGAATCCTTTTTTTTTTTTTTCGGAGACAGAGTCTTACTCTGTTGCCCAGGCTAGAGTGCAGTGGTGTAATCTCTGCTCGCTGCAACCTCTGCCTCCTGGGTTCAAGCAATTCTCCTGCCTCAACCTCCCTAGTAGCTGGGATTACAGGCACCTGCCACCATGTCTGGCTAATTTTTGTATTTATTTTTTAGTAGAGACATGTTTCAGCATGTTAGCCCAGCTGGTCTCGAACTCCTGACCTCAGGTGATCTGCCCACCTTGGCCTCCCAAAGTGCTGAGATTACAGGTGTGAGCCACCACGCCCGGCCTGAATCCTTTTAAGGCCAAAAAAAAAAAAAAAAAAAAAAAAAAAATCTAATAGGACTAGAAGTTCTCAATGTCTTCTTAACTTTGAGCAAACACTGTCCCTCCCAACATTGATTGTTCTGCCCATAGAGAAAACTCTCTCTCTCTCTTTCTCTCTCTTTTCCTCTCTCTCTATGTGTGTATGTGTGTCCCCATCACTGTTCTTTGGTTCTAACTATTTAAAAGAGGAACTCAAACCAAATGAAATATTATTTCAGTTTAGGCTCTGATCAAAAATAATTTTGACAAATCTAGTTTTTTTATTCAAATAATTTTAGAAAATATATAGATTTGGTCCTAATGGGATTGATTCTCTAGAGGTTTTTCCAAAATAACTCTGGTTCAGTTTGTAGTTTTTTTTTTAAAGTATATTTGAGCTTGCTTCAGCACATTACTGGCTGCAGGGTGGGGAGGGTGGGGAGAATCTACATTTAGGTTCATAATTTAGTTCAACTTCTTGTTTCTAAGTCCATCTATATTTTTTTACAGAGTAAAATGTAGCATGTGTTTCTTTGTAGGATGGAGATCCATCACTTCCTCCTGAAAAAAGGAAACAGGTAAGACTTATTTCTGATCTCAGATTGTTTTACTGATAACTTGCAGCAATTGGGAGGATCAGGGAATGTCATAATGTAAAGGACTTCCTTTAATTTCCTGGAATTCTTTCTGTTATTGGGAGGAGTGGGTAGAGATTCCAACTGCAAAGAGAAATTGGGAGTGGAGTGAAGGAAACCCAGTGAAGTCTGAATGGGGGAGGTACACCAGTTGACTGCATTCCCCTTCTTGTTGGGAATCCTGATGGGAAATAGAGTTGAGGGCACATGGTTACAGGACTTGAGCTACCTACTGTTCAGTGGGTACAAGCTGTGGGCATATACCATTTGGTGGGTGCATACTGTTCAGTGGATACATACTGTTCAGTGGGTGCATACCATTCAGTGGACACGTACCACTTGGTAGGTGCATATCTTTGTGTGGCTGTATACTCTTCTATGGGTGCATAGCATTTGGTGGGTGCATACCGTTCAGTGGGTATATACTGTTCAGTGGATACATACTGTTCAGTGGATATATACTGTTCAGTGGGTGCATACCATTCAGTGGACACATACAACTTGGTAGGTGCATATCATTCTGTGGCTATATACTCTTCTATAGGTGCATACCATTTGGTGGGTGCATAGTGTTCTGTGGGTGCATACTATTCTGTGGGTACAGACCGTTCTGTGGATGCATACTGTTCAATGGGCACATACCATTCGGTGGGTACATCCCATTCTGTGGGTGCAAGCTGTTCTGTGGGTGCAGACCATTTGGTGGGTGCATGCTGTTCTGTGGGTGATTACCATTTGGTGGGTGCCTACTGTTCAGTGGGTGCATACCATTCGGTGGACACATACCACTTGGTAGGTGCATATCATTCTGTGGCTATATACTCTTCTATGGGTACATACCATTTGGTGAGTGCATACTGTTGTGTGGGTGCATACCATTCTGTGGGTACATACCATTCTGTGGGTGCATACCATTCTGTGGGTTCCTGCTGTTCTGTGGGTACATACCATTTGGTGGGTGCGTGCTGTTTTGTGGGTACATACCATTTGTTGGATGCGTACTGTTCAGTGGGTGCATACCATTCTGCAGGTGCATACCGTTCAGTGGGTGCATACCATTCTGTGGATGCATACTGTTCTGTGGATCTATACTGTTCAGTAGATGCATATGGTCCAGTAGGTGCATACCATTCAGTGGGTGCATGTCATTCAGTGGGTACATGCTCTTCTGTGGGTGCATACCATTTGGTAGTTGCATACCGTTCTGTGGGTGCATAACATTCAGTGGGTGATACCATTTGGTGGGTAAATGCCATTCTGTGGGCACATAATGTTTAGCGGGTGTATACCATTTGGTAGATATATAATATTTGGTGGGTGCGTGCCATTCTGTGGGTGCATACTGTTCTGTTTAGGTTCTGCCACTTCACACTCTTAAAGGCCATCTTCCATTAAAATTCACATGCCTTTACTTTCTTTTCTCCTGCACCGTAGCCAACACTGTTTATTGACCAAACCAATGGTTTTAGATGCACATTTTTATCATCAAATCCTTATATATATGTGGATCTGCTTCTTAACTCTATGTTCTGTTTCTTTGATCTCCCTGAAAAGTCCTGTGGTTCTACCACATTATTCTTATTGTTTTGCTTTATAATACTTCGAATATCTTTTTGGGCTAACCTTCTTCACTTTGCTCTTCCTTTTCAAAGGTTTCTTATTTGTTACTTTTCTCAGATAAAACCTAGAAACATTTTATCAAGTTCTCCTCTGATCCTTCCCACACAAATCCTACTGGTATTTTGATAGGGGTTTGTTAAATTTATAAATTAACTTGGTCTCTCTCTCTTATAGATAGATATGTTCTGTGGCTTTATAATTAAAACATTTACATTGACTAAGGAGAATCTGATGAATTCCAGTAGTCTGTTAAGCTGCATTCTTACAACTCTAAAAACGCAAGTTCAATGACCTACACATTGGCTTTGTAGCATTTCAAATTGCATTAAGTTTCTATCCCTTTAGGATTGAGAGTGTGGTGGTGGGAGCTTGGACTTTGCAGGCTTTCTGCCTGGGTTGGAACCACTGAGTCACTCTTCTTTATACATGTATTTATGAGAAAGAGAGAGAGAGAATGAGAGAGCAAGCTATTTTCATATATACTTTTGTTAGAACTTTCCTTAACTTTATAGTTGTTCTGTACTGACATGCCCTAAATGATGACTTTTTATGGACTTGAAGGGAGTCCAGATCATGGTGATGTTAATGCTGTGTGTTTCCCATTATAGGGAAGCCTCTGTGCCTGAGCAGGACTTTGAAATGGGTGGATGCAGATAGCAACCCAGGAATGATTTGCTCTCTTCCCAGCTATCACGACTAACCCTGCATCCTGCTTCTGCTCAGTGATGGTGTACCAGCACCACATGTATATTCCTTGATTCTGTGGAGTCATTACCTTGAGACTTTTTTATGCTGGTGAACAGTATGCCCAACACACACACATTTATCCTCAGAGATCAGCTCAGTCCTATGGTTACCCATTCATTCGTTCGTTCATTCATTCATTCAGTGTGCTTACTTATACACTCCCTCTCTATCTTACGGATTATTTTATAATGCTCCAGGTTTGATCTAAAGTCACATTTTTCTGTGATGCTCATTGACTTTTTTTTCTAAACAAAATGTAGAAATTTATCTTTTATGTTTAAAAATTGGAGTTCTTAATCCTGAATTGCCAGGTGTTTTGGGTTTTGAGGTTTCGGTGGTTATAAGCAGCACCTTTGCTGCTATTTTAGAGTTTGTTAGTATTCATGAAGGAGTTTTATAGTTTTAGGGGAATTCACATTCCATAACTTTATAATAAAAAATTTATATCAACTGAAGAGAATCTGATGAATCCCAGTAAGTCTGTTAAGCTGCATTCTTATAGCTCTAAAAATATAAGTTCAACATCCTAAACGTTGGCTTTGTAGCTTTTCATATGGCATTAAGTTTCTGTCCCTTTAGGACTGAGTGTGGTGGTGGGAGCTTGGGCTCTACCGCCTTCCTGCCTGGGTTGGAACCAGTGACTGCTGCATGAGATAGGATGCTTCAGGGTGCAAGTGACAGAAATTCTAAACTGCTTGAACAATAAACGAATTCATTACTCTACATAGCCAGAAGTTCAGAGGTAGTGTGGGCTTTAAGTACTTGATGGTTTATGGCTTCATGAAGTTGTCATGTACTCATTCTCTCCACTGTGCCAAATTTAGCAAGTAAAAATACAGGGCACCCAGTACATTTGAATTTCAGATAGGAATGTAGAAAATTGTACTCTTTTTAAGTACAAAAGTGTGTTCCATGTGATTTTGGGGATAGGCTTATATTAAATTATTATTCATTGTTTATCTAAAATTCAAATTTAGCTGGATATTCTGTATTTTACCTGACGACAATACCATTTTGCCGATTTTAGCTCGTCAGCTTCCTCTTACATTTAGTATCAGCTTCCTTCTGTGTCTGGTTCCCCTCAGGAGAAGCAGAAAATGCAGCCATGGAAAGTAAGTCCTACTCTGCAGTCTGGCTGGGCCAGTGTAGGACTTACTCCCATTCCTGGTCTAGTAACACACACCAGGGGGCTGCTATACACTCATCAGCTTTGATTCATCACTTGGGTTGGAAGCGCTGTTAGAAGTTAGCAATGATGTCCACTAAACTAATTGTGAGACTTTGGGAAGGCTCCTTTGAGTGTCTTGAGTCTCAACTTTCTCATCCATAAAATGGGGATAAATATGGTACCCAATGCATAGTATGGCTGTCAGGATCAAATGAGACAGTGCAAGTAGAGGCCTCAACACAGTGCCTGGCACGAGGTCAGCATCCATCAATGTTTCTCACCTGCTGCTCCTCCTCGTCATCTCTTTTTTAAACAATTGTATGTTAGCAGGTTGATTCTGTCCAGCACAGCTCTTGGCTGTCAACAGGACACACTGGCCTTGTTGGGACCCTTTTGGTTGCAGTTGCCACTCAAAGTAGCTTGCTCCAAAGACAGGTTCTGGCTCATAGATTATGGGAAGAGTTGGTTGAGCATTCCCCGTGGGAGACAGAAGTGCCACTGGGCCCCAGGAATAGCCACAGCAGGGCCCAGGAGCCCACGCGTCTCGTCAGCTCTCATCTCCTTTTCTGCTTCCTCCTCAGAAGCGGAGATGAGATAGAAAACAATATCACATTCTTAGTCTTTGAAACACTTCGTATTTTTCAGAGACCATGCATATATGCATGCCTGCATGCAGTCTCCCAGCGTTCTTCTGAGGTCACACTGGGATGTGTGTCTTTCGTAAAGGCACACGGCAGCATCACAGTTAGCAATAAATAAAAAGAGTTTAGATTCTGGCATTTAATTGCATGGATTCAAGTTTAACCTTTCCACTTGCTGACTGGGCAAACTATGTCACCTTTCAAAGACTCAGTTTCCTCCTGTTCATAATGGACATGATATTGAGATGTGTTTGTAAAGCTCTTATGAGGAATTGATGTGGCAGTGTTTGTGCTGCGCATTGCCTGTTAGTTGGAGAGTGCTCAATGAGTATTGGATATTTTAAATTTTTCCTGTGACTTATCCAGGGGCACATAGCAGGTTAATGAAGAAGGCCTAGAATCCAGACCCCTCCAGCTTGTAGTTTGGTGCTCTAGTTCAGGCTTTTTCTTCTATATTCGATTCTTAGACTGTTTGAGCTGGGGAAAACCGTAGTCAACATTCAGTCCAGCCCATTTTGGAAGTCTAAAGATTAAGTGTCTTGTTCAAAGCCTTCTGCCTAGGAGTGGTAGAGAACCAGAAATTGAGCTAGGAATTTTTACCTGCTAAGCCAGGCTTCTTTCCCGTAGCAACCAATATATACGTGTATGTGTGTGTGTGTGTGTGTGTGTATATGTGTGTGTGTATATATATATTTGTTTTTTGCTTTTTGGGTCTTCACATTAAAGGATAGATGAGAACTTTTACATTTGTAGTTCTAGAAATATAG